ACAGGTCTATTCAGAAAAGGGTGAAGAGTTTGGAGAAGGCAGGAGAAGTGAACAATCTAGGACAACATAGCTGAACTGGAAAGTGAGCTGAATTGGAGAATTTTTCCAAATCGGCTATTTTGTCCTAGATTGTTCACTTCTCCTGCCTTCTCCAAACTCTTCACCCTTTAGTGAATAGACCTGTATGTATTAAAATTGATGGCATTCCATGGGGAAAAAAAACAGTTCTTTGAAAGTGTGCCTACTTTTAGGTTCAGCTGAGCCTGACCCATGCGTACAAAGTGTGTTTCTCATAGACTAGAGTAGCTGTAGGTGGTGATTTACATTTCCTGGGCTGTGAATATAAATTTGAGCTGATTTACCTAGCACATGAATGTACCGGTGGTTTCAAGGTCTAAAAGTCCAAAAACCTAGCACATAAAATTTATTTTTGGGCTGATACAAGTACATTGTTGTGAGACTTACACACTGTATTGGCTGTAGCGTGACTGGTTGGAAAAACATTGTAGCTACTGACATCATCTTCATATGTGAATCACATTTTGTTTTGCAGCTGAATGCTCTGACCCAGTAGTCAAAGTTGTGATCCCGCAGTTAGTATGGGCTGGAGAGGTGCCTCTGCCACTGCAAGGAGATGAGTCAGTATTTTCTAACATCCGAAGGCCGCGCTCCGTTACAACAGGCGTAGGAAGCCACCCGAACAATATGTACATCCATCTACCAGCCTTTGGTCAAAACCTGCATTTGCACCTGCAAAGGAACCTCAAGTTTCTGGCTTCAGGATTCATAGTAGAGGAGAGAACAGAGCTCGGAGAGAAAGTCCAGAACAGGATCCCTGTGGATGAGCTTTGTTTCTATACTGGAGAAGTTCTGAACCATAACAGGTCTTTTGCATCACTCAGCGCGTGTGCAGGACTGGTGTGTATGTTTTTTGTTTTTATGCAAACCATAATCTACACATATTGACATTTGTAATTCTGTCAACTGGAGTGCTACACGTTTACTAACTAAATCTTGTATGTAAGGCGAACTATGATAGGCTGGAGCTTGGTGTAGTGAATGTGAAGCTGCCGTTAAATTGAGTATCCTGGAGATTGAAAGATGAAAGGAGATTGGATGAAATGGCCCCTAAGATTAATGGCCAGCAAAGTCTCTAATCCTCTTCCACTATACTAAAGAGATGGGTTTTTTTTTTATTATTCTGTGCCTCTGTTGGAGGGATTTCCAATAAAAAATATTAACTTCTAGCTGGAATTTAGATTTAACCAACCATCTTCAACCCTAAGGACTAAAGAGAGTATACTGCCACATGACACTAAGTTTTCAATGTATACATTTACTACAACTTTGTTATTATGACTGTGGGAAGTCTCAAATGTTGTATTTCTTCTGGTATCCTGTGTATCATGTTTTAGACCAGTAAGATGCATGGAAACATTCAATGAAAAGACGTCCTGGTGTTCTAAAATTACAAAATTTGCACTCCAGTTAATTTACATTTCTCCCTTTTGTAGTATGTAGAGTAATATACATTTTACCTTATTTATATTACGTCAGCATAATATGCTGGACTTCATGCAGGACTTGCACACTATGTGGAACCGAAGAGCTCACATTCTAGTGTCCTTATTCACACACTGGGCCAAGTTTGGGAGGAATCTGATTACCTATCAGTAAAAATACAAAAGGTCATAATCTTACTGAAAGTATTAATAGGTAAAAACTCCAATGTAGATAAGCAAACTCTATTCTTTTGAATATTGCCATCTAAGCCAAATGCCTATTTTGTCTCAATATCAAGCAAAAAACTTGCCAGTAAGTAACAGTGGTTATAGATCTTCCCTACTAGAGAAGCATTGGAACCCCATAGCAGGTGCCATAGTAAGTAAAAAATGGGTCCAAAACAGTTGATTCACTGGAGGAAAGTACCGTAAAAAGTAGACTAAAAAAAAGTAGACTAAAGTGATAGATTATACCTTAAGGGTGTAGAAACCTAATAAACTAGAATGGGGAACATGTGTCTTATGTATTAGCAGTTTCTTCTTACTACTCTGACATATCTAAGAGACCGATTTATTATTTAATTCAGCTTGACACCTACAAGTATGTTGCAGTCATATGATAATGTTTATGTTGGGAGTGGTATGCATTCCTGGTATGACAGATGTCAGTATGAATTGGCAAATGGCTTTACTGCTACATTCCTAGCTGTCTCCATTTTTTAATTCTTCTGGATCTCTGATAAGGATGACTTTAGTAGATAAGCTTTGTCAAATGAAAACATTTCTGTAACTCCGTAAAAACGTCTATATATCTATGACATTGCACATGTTTTAAAATTACATACTCATTTTAATGCTATTTATTTAACGGGAACTAAGAACTATTTATTTTTGTATCTGGGTTATTTCTTCTCAAACCCTAGTTTTTTTATACTTACAACAAGTGAGCCTATTTAACTTGATCTAAGTGGTAACAGTTTGTCTTACGAAATTAGTATGACGTCACATAGTATACAGTTTAGATGATGTCCATAGGTTGCCTCTAACTCCCACGCCGGTTGACTGACACTTTGTATGAATTTAATGATGCTAAACAGCAGATGGAGAGTGGTGGGAGAAAACATTTTCATCAGTGATTTAGAGTTTATGGTTCATGTTGCCTTGCACTTAAAAAGTCTTAAATGCAGTTAAGATAATCTCCTTTACCTCGCCCTTCTACTTTTTTTTCCTATGTGATAATGAATAATATTTACACTAACACTGTCTTGAAAAAGGAGACATTAATGTAACTGGAATGTCTAGGGTGACAATATTCACTCATTGGCTTACAATTCAGTGATGACATTGTCTTCCCTGTGTGTGTGTGTTGCCACTGTGAGGTACAATGAGCCTGTAAGTTCGAAAATGGGACCAGGTAGCATCGTCACCAAAAGTGACACACCGCATGTGGGTTTATGTTCCCCGCAGCCGTGACCATGTACTTAGCAGGCGGAGATATTACTGCAAAAAAAAATCATGAAAAATTTTTTTTTGAACGTTTTATTAAAGATTTGCACACGTCTTTTGTTAACCAGTGCTTTCTAATGCATTGTAAAACTTGAGTTCACATCTACTTCAATGCTTGTGAGTACATCACAGTTCTTCCATCTACAATGCCTTCATCTTACCTACTTCCCAGATGGCTGGGATACACTGGTCTACAAATTTTGGGAAATTATCGACCTCCGAGATAAAATGTGTTTAATTCTTACATATTTTGATTAGATGAATTAGAAAACGGGTGATAAAGGTGCTGGTTGGCTAAAGTTTTCAAGATATTTCACAATAAAGATTTATACACAGGCGAGTATATTTGCCTACAAGGGAGGAAGTGTCTGATGATCATGATGCCTTGTAACTTCTCGACAAAGTACGGTAGAACATTTCCAAGGAACAGTTGCGTGATATTTTCACTCAGAAGCCAAGATGCCTCGAAACTGTGTAAAACGCAGTTAACTTCTACATTTGTGGCAAGGTTACATTTGCATCTCAAAAGTGCAGTATGATGGCAGTGGTAAAAAAGGCATACCACCTATATTTTGGATGCAAAATAGGGGATCAGGACAAGAGTTGGGCCCCTCATTATTGTTGCATTACATGTGCAACTTATCTGCGTCATTGACTAAACAAGAAGAAAAAGGCAATGCCTTTCGCAGTCCCAATGGTGTGGAGGGAACCCACCAATCATAGTAGCAACTGCTATTTTTGCATGGTGTCCCCAACTGCAAAAGGAATCTCAAGAAAGAAGCAGTGGACCAGGGAACATCCAAACATTCCATCTGCACTGTGTCCTGTACCCCATGGTGAAGACTTGCCAACTCCAGATCCACCAGAATCCTACTCTCTAGACTCAGATGATGATGATAAAGACAATGAGCAGGATGCAGCTGATCTTGGGCCCTCGATGTCAGAGGACCCACACTTTAGCCCACCATATGCTCCTCCTGAACCACATCTAATTTCACAGAGTGAACTAAATGACCTGGCCAGGGAATGATGTCAGGATCTCCATGCAAAACGCATGAAAATGTTACATGAAAAACCAATTAATAAATGGAAAGGTAAATTATTGATATCAATAAAAAGATACATTTATAATGATTGGTGTGGCAACATTCTCATTGCTTTATCACATTTTGCAGAAAGGTTATGGAGCATAATCGCACATCCCCCTCATAATTTTGAATTATTTTGATGCAATTTCGACCTGAAGCTGTATCTTAGAAACTGGAGCCAATTAATACTCGGGACTTAATTTTCCTTTTATTAGTGACCCAATCCTGGAAAAATTTAGCTACTTTCATTTCCAAGGCTTTCTCCTTGTAGACTAGTGATATCTTTGTTTAGGCATTGTTCAGGGTCAGCATCTGCTTCCTGGACTAAGGTAATGGTCCACAAATTGTAGAATCATGGAAATCCTGATGTTTATGTAGTAGCTTCCATACTCTTGTATATTTGTACACCGCTTGTACAAATGAGCTTATTGCTGCTTCTAATTCTTTCACTTTTCACAAAATGATAATGTAGAGTTTGTTAGTGGTCATTGGGAGAAAGGGGACTGTGAAAATGCTTCAGCTAGCCCACCGGACTCTAGTGTCCTCATTCTCCCAGATTGCTCATCTCCGCTCTAGGCACAGTAACAAGGCTGGAGATCAATAACTGCTTTTTAAAGACAAAAGGTACCATAAAAAAATACAGATGTATATTATGACATACTGTATGTATTCATGCAGCTGAAATGTTTTTGGTGCTTTTGCTGTCTTGTAAATTAAATTGTGCTTTTCCTATCTACTGAAATGGAGCTAAAACTTAGAGACACTGAAGTTGAACATGGGTCATGAAAGTAAAGTGAGGAGCTTATCAGAGATCAGAATTTCTGGGATGAGTTGAATTTGCTTCCCCAGTTTGTAATTAAATGTTTAGTTGCACTTTAAACTGTTCTAATAAACTAGACCCTGCACAGAGACCTCTGTATCATTCTCTATTAAACCTTTTATGTGGTGACTTACAGTGGAAGTGTTGCTGGCCTTGTGGAAGCCAAGGAGACATAACTAGTTCTGTAGTGTCCTGGATACTAAATTTGGATGCCAAGAATATTGGATGCCAAAATTTGCACCTTCTATACCATTCATACAAAGAGGACATACTGTCCAGCAGAAATACAGTTGTTGCCATTGCAGCTTGGTGAGCGTGCATATATTAAACCATCTGAGGGCGCTGTGGACATGTTGTTTTTTTTCTTATGAACAAGAGCTTGGATACAGTGCAATTGGACCTCTGTTTTGCCGCAACTCATACTGAAATGAATTACTTTGGTTCTGCTGAGTCAAGATCTGACAGATGCTGCGTTGCTGAACATTTCCTAGATAGCAGAGAGATCTGTCCTCTCCTGACTTCATCGCATTGATTCATGCACACCATGCTACCAGGTCAACTGAACAAAAAGTTTGCAAGTACCTGAGATAAATCTCTGCTGTAGGTCGTCTGTGTTTCAAGGGTTTTACCTTTTATAGGAAAAACCTTGTGTTGTTCTTGGCAGGATTGAAGAAAATAGGTCACCAGCACTCCATAAGTTAAAATGAATGAGTCCTTTTAATGGACAATGATGTCACAGAAATCCAACATGAGCCGACGTTTCGGGGCCACACAGGGTCCCTTCTTCAAGGCAAGAGATGTGACAATGTAATAACATCCACAAGCTACATATATACCCCATGTAATCAAATCATTAGTGATGTACACGCCCCCAGTGATGTAAAAACGGCGGGAAAAAAGGCCATTTTGAAAAAAAGAACAGAAAAAACTCTATATGATATAATCTCATTTAACGTCATCATATATAAAACATCATATATATAACATCCAAACTACTTACTG